GCAAGGAGTGAAAATGTGGGGCCTGGGGCTGGTGTGCGGGGGTTTGGGACTGCGGGGTGAGCTGGAGAGTCCCGAGCTGGTCTCTGTGCTGGGGGGCTGGCTGTGGCCTTGGGGTTCGTCCCTGTTCCCTCCCGCACCCCTGTGCTGAGCACCATCCCCATGCCCCAGGCACCATGGCACAGGTGGGGCACCGGGTGGACTACCTGGCTGGCTTCTGCTGCCCGGTGGGGGGGCTGGTGGCTGGCAAACCCCGCGTGCTGTGCCACGAGAGCGAGATCTACCTCTGCAATGGCAGCGAGTTCGTCTACATCTACGACCAGGAGGGCAAGGTGCTGAAGGTGAGTGGTCCTTGGTGCCGGGACGGGAGGTGGGGAGACCTTGAGACCCCTCCGGGCTCCTCCAGCCCAGGCTGTGTCAGTGAGAGGGGGTGGGATGTTTGGGGCAGCGGGGTGCTGCTGCCTGAGCCCCCCCTGGCCCTGCAAGGCGAATGCTGAACAAAGCAAAGTCCCTTTCGTTTCTCATCTACAAAGGATTTCACTGCTGTCTCCGCTGTGACTAACAGCAGTCGTCGTGTTGAGTTATACACAGCTTCTTTTTTTAATTTGTCCTTATTATCATTTCTAAGAAAGCCATCACTGTAATATCAGGATTTGCCTCCTACACTGTGTTCCTTCTCAGGAAAGTAGATCATGTATGGGCTTTCAGGTTGCCATTTCCCTCCCTTTTCTTTCCACCCACCCCGCACAGCTGCTGCCCGGACAGGAGCAGCACCGCAGCCTCATGAACTCGAGCGCAGTGCCAGCTGCAGCACTGCCTGGTGACAGCCCGATTCCTGGAAGTGCTCACCATGTTCCTCTGCAGGAAATCACTGCTTTCGTTCCCAGTTTCTTTAGGGCTGCCCAGGGGGAAGCGCTGCTCAGCAAGCTGCTCCCTCTTTACCCAACAGTGCACCTCTCTGCCTAGCTGCATGGGCACCGGGGTTCCTGGGCACCTCCTGTGGGCTCAGTGGGACCATAACCCTTCCCTTTCTGCACCCAGGCAGTGTACAGGTGCCCCGACCAGGTGTGGCACGTGGAGCTGCTGCCCCTGACAAGACAGCTGTACATCCTCTGCGCCCACAGCGGCATCTACTGCGTGTCCCTGGACCAGCAGAGCAGGTGAGGTGATGGCGCAGGGGATACGCGTGCATTGGACAGCTCGGGGTTTGGCCCTCGGCTCTCTCTGGGCCGCTGCTCCTGCCCTGCCGTGGGGAGCTTGGTCTGAGGGCCAGGGGATGAGGCAGCCAAGAGAAGCACTGGCTTCGCCCCGAGCCTTGGCTGAGAGCCTTTGCCTGTTTGCTTGAAGGTTAATGGAGCAGACGGATGGCGACGGCCAAGAAAGCAATTGCCCTTCCGGCGTCTTCCCCGTGGACTCAGACGCCTGCATCTTCCCAGACTCCAGCCTGTGCATGTTCACTCTGCTCAACAACTTTGTCATCACCCTGTCCCAGGCCCACGGCAAATGGTGGATGAAGCTGCACGAGCTGCCTCGCCCCGAGCAGGACAGCCCCCCGTACCGGCAGGTCAGCGAGGTGGGCTTCTGCCCCGGCCCCACACCCGCCGAGGAGGGAGACGGCGCGCCGTCCCGCTTCCTGCCCGTGCTGTGCTGCGCCTCCTCCCCGGGCACGGCAGGCAGTGGGGAGGGGCCGTGGTGCTCGGGGGGCTTCGTGCTGGAAGAGCCCCTCTTCAGCTTGCTCTTTGGGATTGACGCCGCCATGCTGGAGTCCCCGATGATCCTGTGCGGCTTCCCAGACGGACAGCTCTGCTCTGTGCCGCTGAAGGCTCTCAGCTCACCACCCGCCGATGGCTGCCACGACGTCTCCGGGCAGGACCCCCCCGTGAAGATCCTCCACCACTTGGAAGAGCCCATCGTCTTCATCGGGGCGCTGCGGACGGAGCGGCGGGCAGTGGAGGAGGAGGAGGAGGAGGAAGATGACGCCGAGGACGATCCGCTGTTTGGCGACGCCGGCTGTGACTGCGTGGTGGCCGTGGGGCACTACGGCAAGATGGTGGCCGTCAAGGCAGACCAGAGGGATGAGACAACGGTGCCGGAGCTCAGGGAGTACTACCTGCGTGGGCCCATCCTCTGTGCCGCCTGCGGCAGCGGCAGCCGCATGTACTACAGCACACACTCAGACATCTCCGCCGTCGACCTGGACTGGGTCAGCGAATCCTCTGACCCCGAGGACACGGAGAGCTGCAGCGGCGTCCTGCCGCCCGTCCTGTCCCCAGCCAGCTTAAGTATCTGTAGCGTCGTGGCTCTGTCCCTGTCCTCGCGGGCATCAGAAGGTACTGCCCACCACGGGGAGTGCGCTGGGTCTGGGGGTGGATTGGGGCAGGATAGCTGTGTGTGCATCCACACACCTTGTGATGGTCCGTGTCGGGCTCTGTCTTTCATCTGTCCTTGTTGACCCCCCCTTTGTGTAAGTTGTTGCTGTTAAGCGTGCCGATGGGCTGAGCACCCCTCAGTACCCCATGCTGCCCCACAGGTGAATCAGAGCTGCTGGCCCTGTCTGCTAAAGGCCGCCTCATGACCTGTGGCTTATGCAGCCCCGACGATGCTGATGTGGAGCTGACGCCTGCCGAGGCTGGCCGGAGGATTAAGGCACTGCTGTCCGGGATAGGCAACACCTCAGAGAGGTAAGGGCAGGGCTGCTGTGCTGCTGCTGGCCCTGTGTGAGCCATGGGGTATAGGTACCTAGAGGTGCTCCTGTCCCAAGCGTTGCTCATGAGGCCTCTTGCAGTACCACCTCCGATGTTTCCTTTCCCGGAGCAGGTGGAAGGGAAGCCCCCAGCCTCAGTGGTATAAAAATAGTTTGCTGGCAGCCCTGCCTGCTGCTCTGTATAGGCACACTGCTGCTTGCAGCTTTGGTGACAGAAGGAGGGCAAGGCACAGTGCCAGCATGCCCAGACACCCCTCAGCACCTGCCAGGCCTGTCACAGGCAGGGCAGTGCTTGCTCAGCCCTCTGCGGCCATCTGTGCTTGGGGAGGTGGTTCCCCCTTCAGAGCGGGATTCCCAAAGCTGTGAGCAGGGCTTGTAGCCCACCCATCTGCAGCTTGTCATCGCTGGGAGCTGCAGCCCAGGGCTGGCCGGTGGGTCCCACTCAGGGTTCATTCAGCTGACTGGGGTTTGTCTGCTAACCCCTTGTTTGCAGACCCACTGTCCCCACTGCTGGCCCTCCTGCTTTTGAGCACTGTGCTTTGTCCTTCCAGGGTTTCCTTCCTGAAGAAGGCGGTGGACCAAAAGAACCGTGCCCTGGCCAGCCTCAATCAGGTGATGAATGTGAGCGCAGCTCTGCTGTCTGGCCAGGAGGGCCAGAAGCCCATTGCTTGCACTGTCACTGCCAACTGGAGCTGCCTCCTGCTCCGTGATACCGTCACCATCTCCTGCCTGCTGGAGAACTGCAGCGAGTACAGCCTGGAGCAGGGCTGGACCCTGTGTGTTCAGCTCCTGGCCAGCCCCTGTGCCTTAGAGGAGGAGTCTGTGGATTCGGCCACCACCTTCACCTTCCCCATCGACCAGCTCCTCCCTGGGACCAAGCGGGAGCTGACGCTGCCCCTCAGCTCAGCCACAGACACCAAGCTGGATCTGCCTCTGACCATCTCCTGTGCCCTCTACTACAGTTTACGTGATATCCTGGGCAGTGGCTCTGACTCACCCGAAGCCCTGGATGATCTCCTCCCGGACGATTCGCCCATCCTGTCCCCGGACAGAGAGGGCATCTGCCTGCCCCTCAGTGAATGCACCATTGACATGCTGCAGTGCCTGCACTTTGAGAGCAGCCCCCCCAGGCCGGACCCCTCCTCCAAAGTGGCTTCGCTGCCTGCGCCCCAAGATCCCGTGGAGACCTTCCTGAAGGCATCCAAGGAGCAGCCTGAGCCCGAGGCGGGGACAGCCAGCGAGCAGCCGTGTGCCACAGGAGAGGGCAGCATGCCACCCTCAGCAGCGTCCATCAGAGTGTCCTCAGAGCTGCTGAAGAACGCGCTGAAAGCCTCCGACTCAGGTGGGTGCTGCCCATAGGGGGTGTGTGCCGAGCAGGTCCTTGGGACTGACCTAGGAGAGCTGTGCTGTGTCACCATCCCCTTCCCGGGGTGAGGGAGGAGGGTTCCAGGCCCCTAGTTTGCCACTCCAGCAGTGTGACAGCCCTGAGGGGGATGTCCCCAAGCTCGGGGTCAGCCTGACATCGCAGCAACTGCACGCACATGGGGAGAGCCAGGCATGCACTGTTCCACCTGCCCACATGGCCCTGCCTTCGGGAGGTTGTGCAGAGACATAATGCACTCTGCTTTCTCTCCTCTCACCCCCAGACGTCTCGCTGAGCTGTGCCACGCTGCGCTGGCTGCTGGCTGAGAGCGCTGCAGCCGCGGCGCTGAGCAGTGGGGAGGTGACCTCGGTGTGTGGTGCGGCTCCGGATGGAGGAGAGGTGCAGCTGATCATCCGAGAGGCAAGGAAGGGGTTAGCCCTGCAGAGGAACTGCCTGTCCTTCCCCGCAGAGCTCTGTTCCTCACCTGCTGGGGAGCAGCATGACGCGTGGCCTGCCTGTCACCCCCTGGTCCCACACTCCACGCCATTGGGGCCCCTCCTCCCCTCCCAGGACTTTCTCAAGACTCCTTTGGGCTGCTGCTCCATGCTGAGCCTGCAGAAGGGAAAACGTGGCTGGATTCTGGGTGTAAATCCGACCTACTGCAGCTTTTCCCCTTCTAATGTGAAAATCCCCCTCTAAGTGCAAAGGAAAAGCAGTAATTGCAGCACAGCTCTCCTGCCACGGTCGGCTAACCCTCCGGCGAGGGGCCCAGCTGCCTGCGTGCTGGCAGTGACCTGGTTCAGGTTGGTTCACACTTGAGAGCACTAATATTGCCAATGTGATTAGCGCCAGCGTTAATTCTGCTTGGGCTAAGCCTGCCGGATTAAATCCACCACGCTGGCAGCCCGCGTCTCATTGGGGAGCGGGCAGCAGGTTGACCTCAAACTTGTACTGGCCTGGAGAGCAGCGAGGGGCTGTGCATGGAGCAGGGATGGAGAGGATGGCAGCTGTCTTTGGGCCCAGCATGGAGTCACCATCCCAGCCCTACTGCCCGTGGGGTGGGGGGACCTGGGGCAGCCCTTCCCCAACCCTGTAATGATTGCAGTGGGGCCTTGGTGCTCTCCCAGGTGGCCATGAATGACCTCAGCCCAGCCGGCCCCATCCAGGCGGTGGAGATCCTGATGGAGAGCCCATCCCTGGCCCACATGTGCAGGATGCACCACGCCGTCATCCGCCGCATCCAGGTATGGAGCTGTGGGGCACATCCCCGAGTGCACCCCTACACCCTGCTGGACTCTGTGGGATGGTTTTTCAGGCACCACTGTGTGGCAGCCATACTTGGCACAGCCCGGTGCCACACAGGGATGAGGAGTGGGACCACCACTCCCTCCCCAGGTCCCCCGCAGCAGAGCTCTGCTCCCCGCAGGCGCTGGTGCTGGAACAGGCTGCACAGGGCTCGGGGCCCCCTGACCTCCGCATGCAGTACCTGCGCCAGATCCAGACCAACCATGAGGTGAGCCGTGAGCCCACCGTGCCCCCAACCCCTCCCTCCCTATGGGCTCCTCCTTACGGGCGTGAGCCTCACCCCGCTCCTCCACGTCCCTCCCGCAGATGCTGCTGAAGGAGGCGCGGTCCCTGCGCGACCACTCGCCCCTGACCGAGGAGGACACGGAGAAACTCCTGCACATCTACCAGCAGCTGCGTAACCCCAGCCTGGTCCTGCTGTGAGCAGCGGAGCAGCCAGCGCGCCCCGGGGACGGGGACGGTCCCAAGGAGGGGCAACGTGCCCGGCAGGAGGGCCGGCGGCCGAGGCGGTGGTCTGTGTGTGTGCGTGTGTCGTGGTCGTGTTGTCGGCAGCACGGAGGGGCCGTGTGCCCCGAAAGCCGCCTGGCGGCAGAGCGGGGCTCCTGGGCTGGCCCGGCGCTGCGCTGCCGCCCGGGGCTGTGCAGCCTCGTGGGGCGTTGCGGCCGTGGTAGCGTAGCTCCATCCCGGCTGTGGGCTGTGCCCCCGTGCCGCCTTGCCTTTCAGGATCAGGACAAACAGGGTGCTGTGCCAGGGTGCCCGGGGGAGCCCCGTTTTCTGCTGGGCAGGGGAGGGGGTTTTCCGCTCCCCCGTTGTTTCTATAAATGATCTCGTATCTCTGTGGCGGTGCAGCGTGTTTTGGGGGCTCAGTCCTTCCCCGCACTGCTCCGGTGTCTGTAAATCTGTCGTCTGCCATGAAAACGATCGTGCCGCTCAGCGACTGCGCCTCTCTTTTCCTTTCCATCTCCGTGCCGGCTCCTGGGCGACCCCCGCTGCCAGAACCCTGCTTCTCCCCTGCCCCGCACGGCGCCGCCTGAGGGGCTGCAGCCCCCTCCCCAGCCCCCACAGCACCCGTATCCCTGCGGGCACCCAGAGGGGCACCGCAGCGCTCTGCCACCCCGTGGCACAGCGAGCGCGGAGCTGCTCTGTCCCCAGCACGTGGCATCTCCGTGCCCTGCTGCCACCCCCTGGCAGCGAGCCCGTGTCCCTGTGCCCTTCTGCACAGCATCCACGCACTCCATTCGGGGTTATGGGGCCACGGGGAGGAGATGAAGGCAAGATCCTGACCCACCGTGCCCTGGCTGCGAAGGAAAAGGCCGTGCCTTGCTGCAATCCAGACGCACTTTAATGACACGAGTTGGGGAGGGTCGGGGACGCGGCTGCTGCCGTCGGTGCCACCGGGTCCCCCCGTCCCCGGGCTCAGTACTCCCAGAGCGTGGCCCGCAGCACCGACTCGCTGTCGGCCCGCAGGGTGCCGGCCGGGTCCCCGCGCAGGTACCGCCCGTTCTTCCCTTTGATGGCAACGCGCCCGCGCTCCCGAAACTCGAAGAAGAAATCCTCAGACAGGTCCCCGTCGCTGCAGACTGCCCCGCTGCTCGCCACGTACCAGAACTTCCCCCCCTGACCTGCAAAGAGCGCGGGGGGGCCGTCAGCGGGGCAGTGGGCGGCCCCGCATCCCCCCGCACCGCCACGCACCTCGGATCTGGTAGGCGCCGTCGCTGAAGCCCACGTGGAAGACGTCGTAGACGGAGCGGTTGGAGTCGAGCAGGTTGGAGCCTCGGTGGTAGCAGACGAAGCCGTGCTCGCCCCGCAGCACCAGCATGGGCCGGTTGATCAGCTTCAGGGTGAACTCCTCGTCCTCCCCTGCAACGGGGACGGGGCTGAGCGGGGCTGGGAGGGCACTGTCCCCATCGGCCCCCACCTCCAGCCCCGGTTTTGCACTCACCCACCGCGTCGCTGACGGCCGCCAGCTGCCCGTTCCTCTTGGTGCACACATAGCGGCCATTGCTGGCACGCAGGGCCACGCGCCGCCCGCGCCACTCGATGTCAAACATGGTGTTGGCAGCACTGGGTGACAGCACAGCAGTGTCACTGGGCTGCCCGCATCGCCAGCCCGCCCACCCCCCTCCCCGGCCCTGCTGCACTCACACTTCGGTAGCCACGGCCTGGATGCCCCCGTGGGCCACCAGGGTCCAGTAGCTGCCAGCATTGGTGTGCAGGCTGCACTTCTTGGTGTCACGGTCGATCTGCAGCTGAAAGGTCTCGTGGTTCAGCTCCTCATCCTGGTTGGCCGACACGTTGACGCCTGTGGGTGGGAAGGGACATCAGCACAGGGCCACGTGTGGGGTGTGTGGTGTCGTCGTCCCCCCCAGCCCCTCCCAGGGTAAATCCCTCCGGGAACAATCGCGCTAATTGGGCCCTTAATCTGATCGTGGTGTGCCCATCTGAGCAGCGCAGCCGTGCACAGACCCCTATTTATATCCCACACAGCCCTAAGGAGCTTGGCACAAACGTTCCCAGTGCCACGGGGATAGCAGGGCAGCTGGGGCCATGGCACGGCCCTGTGTGCCAGCTCTGGTTGTGAGCACTGTGTGTGCATACTCCCAGCACCTGGCATGCACTCCATTCACACACCAAACTCAGCCTTGCACACATGCAGAGCAGCGTGCAGGTGAATGTGCAGTGCTGCACACAGGTACAGGCTGCACAGCTGTGCACCTGCAAACACGTGCACACACACACACAGGTTGCATGGAGCCGTGTGCCTGAACTCGTGCTCATGCATGACCTGCACAGAAACATGCATGCACTGCAATGCACCACACAGAGCCTTGCACATGCACATTTATGCACACAGCACTTGGAGTGCTGCACAGATCCTCTGCCAGTCCCAAACGGGCCCCAGTGACCATGGCTCCCAGCCAGCAGTGGGGCTGTGGTCACACACTGACCTCAGGCAGGGGCTGTTTTTATAGGGTCTCCTCCCAGGGTGGGGTCCTTGTCGTGCACTCACGGTGAGCCCACACCTGGAGCTGACCAACCTTAGGGACCCCTAGGCCCTGTATCCCCCCAGCAGGGGCTGTTTTTGCAGGGTCTCCTCTCCATGCAGAGAGCTCTCACGGAGACCTCCAGGGCTGGGGCTGCTTTGGGCTGAGCAATCCCCGGGGTCCCCTAGGTGCCCGTCCCCAAAGCGGGGGCTGCTTTTGCAGGGTCTCCTCTTGGTGCTCTCACAGAGAACCCACGCTTTGGGCTGACCACCCCCCGGGTTCACACCGTGCCCCATCACTCAGCCCTTACCCTGCCGGATGGAGACGAATCTGCCGTTGGCTGCCGTGAAAACCACCTGGGGGTGACTTTCTTCCAGATCGAAGAGTTCGTCCTTGCCCGGCTTGGAGCTGCGCCCGGATTTGAGCGTTCCGGTGGGCCCGGTGGGCGCCAGGTATTTCCCATCGCAGTCCTTGAAGGCCAGCTTGCCCGCCTTGAACTCCAGCGTGTATCCGGTGCGGGCGCCGGGCTCGGGCACCAGGATGCCATCGCAGCGCAGGTAGCGCTCGTCGGCCGTGCGCAGGCTGTACTTCTTGTCCTGGAAGCAGAGCGTGATGAGCGCGTCCACCCCCCAGGGCAGGTTGCTGTCGGTGGCGATCTCGTCCTCGTGGGCGCTCAGGTGTGCGTAGCGGCGGCGGCTGACGCTCAGCAGGTTGGCCTGCGGGTGCATGGCCAGGTGCACGGTCCACAGCTCGCCCTCGGTGATGCTGGGAGCGAAGCAGGACAGCCGGTCCTCGCGGCCGCCGAAGAAACGCCGGTGCGGCGCCGACTGCAGCGCCCAGCGCCCGTCCGACTGCGTGATGATGCTGAAGCGCTCATCGCGGCCCGGCTGCTCGGCCTCGCAGCGCACCTGCCCGTCCTTGTCGGCCCCCAGGTAGCGGCCCAGGTGGCTCTTGAGGAAGACGACGGAGCTGTCGGCCTCGTCCTGCTCCAGCGTCCATATCTGCTTGCGCTTCAGGCTGGGCGCCGAGGCGTTCACCTTGTAGCCGAAGCTCTCCGCCGTCAGGTAGCGGCTCTCGCAGTTGATCAGCCCGAACTGGATCTTCAGGACCTGGTGGATCCCATTTGTTGGCATCTTCCGCCTCTGCTGGGGGGGGGGCGGCCCCAGGGGGCTGCGGGGACGTCTGCGCTGCCGGGCGCCGCTGCCGCAATGGCCCCGTGGCACGGCTCGGCACTGCACGGCACGGCGTGGCGGGGGGGGACGCCCAATTAGGGGCAGGTGGGATTACGGAGCCCGGCCAGATTGCTGCTGGGTAACCCACTGCCCCACGTCCTACAGCCCTACAGCGGCTCGATGCCCGGCACCGGGCAGCCCCGTGTGTGCACAGCTCCGGCTCTCGGCGTCCCACCGCGGAGCCGTGGGTGGAAAACTTGGGTGGGAACCCGATCTGGGCGCACGGATCCGTTCCCTGCAGGCTAAGGTTACCAGCCTCTCTGATTCAGCAGCGGGTCACCTCCCGGCGCGCCGCCTCCCGGCCAGCCCCTAAGCGCCTTACAATTAGCCAGGCATTTTGATTAGCTTAAACCCTTTATCCTGCTTTGGGGCCCTTGGCCTCCATCTGTCCTACGGCCCCAAATCCCCCCCATGGCTGTGGCTCGGGGTCACGCAGCCCTGCGTCTGCGGTGGGACAGAGTTGCGCATTGGGCATCGTCATCATCTTGCCATGTGTTGGGCATTGCATTGAGGGGGCCTCCAGGGCAGTGTTGGGCATCGTGGTGTCATGTGTTGGGCACTGTGGGATGGGAACCTTCATTGGTGTGTTTTGGGCACTGCAGTGCCATGTGTTGGGCACTGTGGGATCAGGTCCTCCAGTGCTGTGTGTTGGGCATCACGATATGGGGACTTCCAGTGCCATGTGTTGAGCATTGTAATATGGAGACCTCCAGTGCCATGTGTTGAGCATCGCAGTGCCATGTGTTGGGCATCACAATATGGGGACCTCCAGTGCCATGTGTTGAGCATCACAGTGCCATATTTTGGGTACTGCAGCATGGGGACCTCCAGCACCGTGTGTTGGGCATTGTGGTACCACGTGTTGGGCATCATAGTGCCATGTGTTGGCATGATGGATGGCATCCTACGGTGCCATGTGTCCCCCAACACAAGGATGCTGCTGGGGGCACTTGGGCTGAGCTCATCCCAATTCCATGACTTTGGGTGGTGCCCTATGGGGGCACAGAGGGCCGTGGGGGTGGGCGGTGTCCCTTAAGTGGTCACACCCGGTCCCCAGTGCCTGGCTCTGTGCTCTCACTGCCTCCTTTCCCCCCCCCCCCCCCCCCCCCCCCAGCTCCGGTGTCAGCATGGCGGCAGCGAGTTATTGTTCCCGAAAATAGGTCCCGGGGATTGTTTGCCTCATGACTTTTTCATGGCTCTCCCTTTACCGTGCCTGGGAGGGGAAGGGGGGGGGGGCACGGCGGCCCCCAGCGCTGCGTTACACGAGCTGCGTGGCGCGCTGAAACTGACCCCCACCGAAATGGATACGGCTTGGTTTTCTGGCTGGGGGGGTGGCTAAGTGGGTCAGGGTCCTGCAGAGGGGCTGGGGGGCGGTGGGGGGGGGGCATCCTATGGTGCTGCTGGAGGTGTGCGGTGCGAGAGCTGAGAGCTGCATTGACACACACAGATGCCACCCCCCCCCCTCCCCTCCCAAATATCGGGGTGGTGTTGGCATTGGGGTGTCCTGCTCCACCCTGTTGTTCCCCCCCGCCGTGTTTGGGTGTGACGGGAGGGAGGGGGTCCAGGGATGGGTGTGTGTGGGGGGGGCACATTGCGCAACGCCCCGCCGTCCCCGTGACAACGGCGGGGGGGGGGTGGGCTGTCACCGTCACCACGACGACAGAGCTGTGCGCACGGGAGGGGGGGGGGGGCACCGCATCAGCACCGCGGGGACCTTCACCCGAAGGAAGGGGGGGGGAGGAGGGGAGCGGGAGGAGAAGGAGGAGGAGGAAGGAGAACGACGTGCACCGTGCGCTTCCTCCTCCTCCTCCTCTTCCTCCTCCCGCTCCCCCCTCCCCGGGCGAAAGTCCCCGCGGGGGCGGTTTCGGTGCCGGGCGCGGCCGTGCCACCGTCCCGATGTGCCCTAATATAGCCGTGCCGCGGTACCTGCGGCCCCGCCCGCCCCTGGGACATCACCCCACGGGTGGGACACTGCCCTACGTGGGGACACGGCACCCCCAGCCCCTCCCGCTGCCCCCCGGCACCGCTCGGTGCTTTTTCCCCATCCTCCGCCCCAATGGCACCGCTGTGGTCCACGGGTGGTGCCGGAGCCGTGTGGGGCCGAGCGGTGCTGGGAATCACTGGGAGATGCAATGGGGAGCATGGACAGTGCATGGAGAGTGCCGCTGTGTCTGCAGGGACCGGGCACCCAGTGTGGCCGTGGGGCTCCAAGTATGGGCCATTGGGCTTCAGTTTGCTCTACAGGGCTCCAATATGATGTATGGAGCTTCAGTATCATCTGCTGGGCTCCAGTGTGTGAGGCAGCATCACGGCCCATGGGGCTCTGATATGACCGACCTGTAGCAACCCATGGGCACTGGCATGGTCTGTGGGGCACCAATGCAATCCACTGGGTTCCCACGTGGTTCCTGGAGCTCCACTATGGACAGTGAGGCACCACTACAATCCATGGCCATTGGCACAGCTCATGGGGCACCAGTATGGACCATGGAGCATCAATACAGACCGTAGGGCACCAGTATGGCCCATGGGGCTCCAACAGGGTCCGTGATCCATTGAGCTGCAGTGTGGTCTATGGGGCTCCAGCATGGTCCTTGGGACATCATTATAGTCCATGGGACACCAGTATGATCCACGGGGCTCCAACACAGCCTATTGTTGCTCCATGATGCCCCACACGCCCCAGGCCCCCCCGCATGGCACAACACGGGCACAGCACAGCGGGGTTGGCCCCACGGCAATGATGGGAGACGCCGTGTTTTGGGGCACGAAGCACCACGTGTCCTCCAGCAAGGCCTGTGTCACCTGCGTGGGGTGACAGCTGTCCCCTATAGGGGGTGTCATGTATATGGGATGTCCCCTACACCAGGCACCCCTACACCAGGCACCCCTACACGGGGTGCCCACCCCACACAGTGTCCCCTATTCAAAACGTCCCCTATATGAGTGCCCCCGATGCGGGGCGCCCCCTACACGGGCTGTCACCCATAGGGGTGTCACCCATAGGGTCCCCTACACTCAGTGTCCCCTATAGAGGGGAGCACCTCTAAGTGCCCCCCCTGTTTGCCCCCCGCTGGATCTCAGCACCGCACCGGGGGCCGCCCCGCACCCCTCCGCACCCCTCCGCCCCCCGAACCCGACGGTACCGGGGGGGGGCACCGCCGTGGGGCGCCGGGCCGGGCCGGGGTGGCCGCCCCCCGCTTTGCCCCCCACCCCCACCCCATGCTTTGCCCCATGCAGGTTCCGGGGCGCTCGGGGCGGGGACGAGCCGGCAAGTCTCCCCACGTGGCCGGGTGCGAGCCAGCCAATGGGAGCGCGTGTTTCTGAAAGATCTCCATATATGGCGATGTTCTCGGCCGGGTGGGCGGGGCTGCCGCCCCCTGGGTATAAACGCGCGGGGCTGGCAGCGGGACGGTCTCACTCCGCCGGCGGCAGCGGACCGCGCGCAGCGTCACCGCTCTCTTCAGCACCGGGCGCAGCCTCCCCGCACAGGTACGGCCCCGCGCCCTGTCCTCGGGGCCGGCGGCGGCTGAGGCGATACGCGCGATCCCGCGGGGCGGGAGTGCGGAGGGGGTGGGGGTGGGGGGGGTCTCAGCGCTGCGCAGCGCCCCGTAGGGCCTCACCCCCACCCCCCTCCCCCCAACCCCCCCCCCGGTCCCGTTGCGGGGTGGCCGCGCCCGCTCTGAGGGCCGTTGGGGTGGGGCGGGACGCGCTGTGATTGGCTGCGGCCGCGCGTGACGTCACGGCGCGGGAGATTCGAATGGCGGCGGACGGGGCCATGGGCGGCGGGGGGGGGAGGTGCGCGCGGCGGGGGCTGACGGTGGGGTGACGGTGCGGCCGTCCCGCAGAGCACCCCGAGATGGAAGAGGAGATCGCAGCGCTCGTGATCGACAATGGCTCCGGCATGTGCAAGGCGGGATTCGCCGGGGATGACGCGCCCCGCGCCGTTTTCCCGTCCATCGTGGGCCGCCCCCGGCACCAGGTGTGTGTGTGGGGCGGGGGTGTGTGGGGTGGGGGAGGGGGGGGTCGGTGGGGCTGTGCGTGTTGTTGACTGCGGTCTGCTTGTAGGGCGTGATGGTGGGCATGGGGCAGAAGGACAGCTATGTGGGCGACGAGGCGCAGAGCAAGAGAGGCATCCTGACCCTGAAGTACCCCATCGAGCACGGCATCGTCACCAACTGGGACGACATGGAGAAGATCTGGCACCACACCTTCTACAATGAGCTGCGTGTGGCACCCGAGGAGCACCCGGTGCTGCTCACTGAGGCTCCGCTCAACCCCAAGGCCAACCGTGAGAAGATGACGCAGGTACGGCTGCTGCCCGCTGCACCGCCCTCCTCCTCCTCCTTTGTTTATGGCACCCTAACCCTGAGCCATCTCTCTCTCCCACCATTTTCAGGGTTCTGTTCTCCTGGCATTTCCCCCCTGACGTCTCAGGTTTCTTTCAGTTGTGTTTTCTGCCTGCTTTTCTTTGCTTTTCCTTCACATCACAGTTTTTTTTTTTTTGCATGCCGGCATGCGTGTGCTAACACGGGTGTGAGTGACTCTACTCAGCTCTTAGTGCTCAGCTCACTCACTTTTTGCCTCCCTTTTTGGCAGATCATGTTTGAGACCTTCAACACCCCTGCCATGTACGTGGCCATCCAGGCTGTGCTGTCCCTGTACGCCTCCGGTCGTACCACAGGCATTGTTATGGACTCTGGGGATGGTGTCACCCACACGGTGCCCATCTATGAGGGCTACGCTCTGCCCCACGCCATCCTGCGTCTGGACCTGGCTGGCCGTGACCTGACCGACTACCTCATGAAGATCCTGACAGAGAGGGGCTACAGCTTCACCACCACGGCTGAGAGGGAAATCGTGCGTGACATCAAGGAGAAGCTGTGCTACGTCGCCCTGGACTTCGAGCAGGAGATGGCCACTGCTGCCTCTTCCTCCTCCCTGGAGAAGAGCTACGAGCTGCCTGATGGGCAGGTCATCACCATCGGCAACGAGCGATTCCGGTGCCCGGAGGCTCTTTTCCAGCCCTCTTTCCTGGGTAGGTTTGGGTTAGAGCTGCGTGCAGAGGGAGGCGTGGGGCTGGGTGTGCTGTGTGTGAGTGCAGCCTGTGATGTGCCCCTGCCTTCCCCCTCCGCCAGGCATGGAGTCGTGCGGCATCCACGAGACCACCTTCAACTCCATCATGAAGTGTGACGTCGACATCAGGAAGGATCTGTACGCCAACACGGTGCTGTCAGGTGGTACCACCATGTACCCCGGCATCGCCGACAGGATGCAGAAGGAGATCACAGCCCTGGCACCCAGCACGATGAAGATCAAGGTAAGGAGTGCTGCCTCATTCCCAGCAGCTCGGGTTGGTTGGGTGGAGACACAGGGCAGCCCTGACCATTGCTCTCATTGCAGATCATCGCCCCTCCGGAGCGTAAATACTCTGTGTGGATCGGCGGCTCCATCCTGGCCTCCCTGTCCACCTTCCAGCAGATGTGGATCAGCAAGCAGGAATATGACGAGTCCGGCCCATCCATCGTGCACCGTAAATGCTTCTAAACGGACTGCTGGCAGGTGCACAGCATCTGCTGCATGAGTCGTCTCACTAGTATACGTTTGCCCTGGCAAATCTATACACCTCATGCTAGCCTCATAAAACTGGAATAAGCCTTCTTTCAAAAGAAACTTTGCCCTTGGAAAGTCTGTACCTGATGATGTTAGATGTGTCAGCACTGGGTTGTCGAGCTGGCACTTGATTCGATCATTGATTCACCATTTGGTGCACACCTTTAGAGAAATACCCTGCACAGATCTGTTTGAGGGGGGGGTTGTGCTGCGTGCCCAGATGTGTACAGGGTATTCAGAGTCAGTCAGGCTTCCATCCAGTGCAGAGTATTCCAGATTTGGTGTAGAGGCTGGTAGGAGTTCCATCCACACCCACTTCTGTCGCCGCCGTTCTAAGCAAGGTTGGGAAACATATCTGCATCCGAGCCTTACCAACCAGCCCTCCTCCTCCCCACCCCTCTATAACCACCACGGGGCTGAGGTTCCTCAACGCGGGTTGCTGAAACTTGGCATTGACACCTGTAAATTTATGCATCGTTTTAATTTATGTAAGATTTT